CCCAAGGATTTGTTCTCCATCCCAAGGATTTGTTCTCCATCCCAAGGCTTTGTTGTCCATCCCAAACATTTCTCCCCCGTCCCAAACATTTCTCCTCCATCCCAAGAATTCTCCATCCAAGGATTTCTCCCCATCCCAAACCCTTCCTTTCCCCCTTCCCCAGAGACGCTGCAGCCGCGGCCGCCCGGGAAGCTCTGGATGCCCGGGATTCCTCCGGAGACGCGGAATACTGGGAAGCGCTGACCCACGTCATTCCAGAGCCCAGGCTGAAACTTTGGGATGCTCTGGACACGGCACTTCTGGAATACCAGTGAGTTCCCAGTGGGATTGGGCGGGATGGTGACATTCCGGAGGGATATTCCCGACATTCCCGGTGTTTCTTCCCAGTCGTGTCCTGAGCCGGAGGGCCGAGCTCCTTTCCCAGGCCACGCTCCTGCAGCAGCAGAACTCGGAGCTGGGAATGCTCCTGGAGGAATATCTGCGCTCCAAAGCCAGCGGCTGAGCCGGGAATTCCGGCCCCTTTCCTGTCAAAATCCCATGGGAACGGAGCTAAATGTGTCCAGAGGAATCGTTGGGAATGGGTGGGAAGGGGAGGGGATTTGTTGGGGCTGGGGCTGGATCTGGATTTGGGTCTGGATTTGTATTTGGATCTGTATGTGGACCTGGATCTGGATCTGGATCTTGATCAGGATTAGGATCAGGATCTGGATCTGGGCCTGGATCTGGATTTAGATCTGGATTCTTATTTGGATCTGGACCTGGACCTGGATCTCGATTTGGATCTGGATCTGGATCTGGATCTGAATCTGGGTCTGGATGTGGATTTGGATCTGGACCTGGATTTGTATTTGGATCTGGATCTGGATTTGAATCTGGATTTGGATCTGGATCTGGGCCTGGATCTAAATCTGGATCTGGACCTGGATTTGTATTTGGATCTGGATCTGGGCCTGGATCTGGATCTGGATTTGGATCCGGATCTGGACCTAGACCAGGATCTGAATCTTGACCTGGATCTGGATCTGGATCTGGACCTGGATTTGGGTTTGGATCTGGAACTGGATTTCGATGCGGATCTGAACCTGAATCTAGACCTGGATCTGGATCTGAACCGGGATCTGGACCTGGATCTGGATTTGGACCTGGATCTGGATCTGGACCAGGATCTGGATCTGGACCTGGACCTGGATCTAGATTTGGATCTGGATCTAGACCTGGATCAGGACCTGGATTTGGGTCTGGATCTGGATTAGTATCTAGATCAGGACCTGGATCTGAATCTTGATCCGGACCTGGATCCAGATCTGGATCTGGATCTGGGCCTGGGTCTGGATTTGGATCTGGATCAGGACCTGGATTTGAATCTGGATTTGGATTTGGATTTGGATCTGGACCTGGATTTGGATTTGGATCTGGATCTAGAGCTCGATTTGGATCTGGACTTGGATCTGCATCTAGACCTGGATCTGGATCTGGATCTTCATCTGAATCTGGTCTGGATTTGGATTTAGATCTGGGTTTGGATCTGGATCTGAATCTGGACTTGGATCTGGATCTGGATTTGGGGTTGGATCTGGATCTGGCTCATGACCTGGATCTGGATCTTAATCTGGATCTGGATCTGGATCTGGATTTAGATCTGGATTTGGATCTGGATCTGGATCTGCACCTGGATCTGGGCCTGGATCTGGATCTAGAACTGGATTTAGATCTGGATTTTTATTTGGATCTGGATCTGGACCCAGATCTGGACCTGGATCTGGATTTGGAACGGGATCTGGGTCTGGACCTGGATCTGGATCTGGACCTGGATTTGAATCTGGATCTTGATCTGGATCTGGACTTGGATCTGGATCTGGATCTAGACCTGGATCTGGATCTGGATTTTTGACCTGGATCTGGATTTAGATCTGGATCTGAGTCTGAATCTGGACCCGGATCTTGATCTGGATCTGGACTTGGATCTGGATCTGGACCTGCATCTGGATCTGGATCTAGACCTGGATCTGGACCCGGATCTGAGCCAGGGATTCCCAGCTCAGGGATCAATAAAACCCTTCCCAATAAAACCCTTCCCAAAATCCTGGGGGTGTGGCCTGGAAGGAGCAGCTCTGGTGGGGGGGTGGGAGGGGGCACAGCCACCTGTCCCCCAAATCCGAGGGAATCCTGGAACTGGGGAAAGGAATTTCCCCTTGGGATCTGTGTCGTGGGATCCTGGAATGGTTTGGGTGGGAAGGGACCTCAAAGCTCATCCCATTCCATGTTCAGGGACACCTCCCGCTATCCCAGGGAATCCAACCCGGCCTTGGACACTGCCAGGGATCCAGGGGCAGCCACAGCTTCTCTGGGAATTCCAGCCCAGCCCCTCCCCACCCTCCCAGCCGGGAATCCCTTCCCAATCTCCCCTTTCCCAGTGGGATCCATTCCCTGG